AGGGATAAGGGATGTAGGGATAAGGGATGTCAGGGTAATGGATGTAGGGATAAGGGATGTAGGGATAAGGGATGAGGGATAAGGGATGTAGGGATAAGGGATGTCAGGGTAATGGATGTAGGGATAAGGGATGAGGGATAAGGGATGAGGGAAGGGATAAGGGATGTAGGGATAAGGGATGTCAGGGTAATGGATGTAGGGATAAGGGATGTAGGGATAAGGGATGTCAGGGTAATGGATGTAGGGATAAGGGATGAGGGAAGGGATAAGGGATGTCAGGGTAATGGATAAGGGATGTAGGGATAAGGGATGTAGGGATAAGGGATGAGGGAAGGGATAAGGGATGTAGGGATAAGGGATGTCAGGGTAATGGATGTAGGGATAAGGGATGAGGGATGTAGGGATGTCAGGGGTAATGGATGAGGGATGTAGGATGTAGGGATCAAGGGATAAAGGATAAGGGATGAGGGATAAAGGGATGTTGGGATGTCAGCATGAAGGGATTAGTTATTAGTTTTGTTATTACTTTGACAATGTTAGCACCAAAGCTAAGAGAACATTTCTGAGAGTTTGAGGATCCGATTTTATTCGTCAAAGGGTTTTCAGCAGGTTTTTTGTGTTTTGTTTGATTGCATGATTACAGAAAAACTTCTGGTCCAATTGACAGGAATACTGGAGAAGTATTTGGTGAAGCATTTAGCATGGACCAAGGAAACACACATTTCTGAGCGGACTCGAAACTGATACAGCGATTATCTCTCACCAAAGTGAAAACAGGCTCAGATCTCAAAGAGCCGTTATTATAGTGACCGTGTGGTGTTGGTCGTTTTGCTGCAGAGAAGGAGGTTTGAGAGAAGACCCAGCCTGGATGTCCCACTGTAGAGGGGTACAGGGGGATATTGGGGGGAGACAGGGGGGATGATGGGGGTGTCGAGGCCTCTTAGCATTCAGCGGCGCGCTCATTAGACATGCAAAGCTGCAGAGTTGGAGCTGCTGGCCTGAATGAGCCGGCTTTGTCCTGTAATTGGAGATGTTTTCTGTGGGAGCCACAAAGAAACCAGGGCCTCCTCACCCTCCTCACCCTCCTCACCCTCTCCTCTCTGATTCATCCTGTCCTCCCTCACTCTCGCCGTTGTGTAACGTGTTGCATAAAGATTCAGTTTCCAGGAAATCATCCAATTAAAGACTCGAATTTGGAGAAACGACACAAAACGTCTCATTAACCTGCTTTTTACCTGCAGCCACAAACACCTGTTTAACATGGTCTTCATCATCATCATCATCATCATCATCATCATCATCATCATCATGGTGGTACTGTCCAGACTCTACAGCAGGGGTCACCAACTACATTTGTCCAAGGGCCAAAATTAATCCAAGAGACACTTTCGGGGCCAGAGATTTTTATATATATATATATTTATATATCATTTAGGCACGCAAATATGTCACTGTCAAAGAGCCTCAGGCGTAAAGTTGACGTGGAAAACCGCAGTTTTAATGAGGAATGGACGAATAAATACGCATTCATCATAACATCGTTCAATAAGGCTACACCTGTTGCAAAAGAGTACAATCTCAGACGTCATCATATCACAAAGCATGCAACTTTCTCACCTTTTTTTTCCTTTTTTTTTACGCCACAGTCACCCCCGCGTGACACTAAAACGTGACGCACACAGCTGGGAGACCAGGGGACACTAAAATGTGAGGCACACAGCTGGGAGACCAGGGGACACTAAAATGTGACGCACACAGCTGGGAGACCAGGGGACACTAAAGAGTGACGCACACAGCTGGGAGACCAGGGGACACTAAAATGTGACGCACACAGCTGGGAGACCAGGGGACACTAAAATGTGACGCACACAGCTGGGAGACCAGGGGACACTAAAATGTGACGCACACAGCTGGGAGACCAGGGGACACTAAAATGTGACGCACACAGCTGGGAGACCAGGGGACACTAAAGAGTGACGCACACAGCTGGGAGACCAGGGGACACTAAAATGTGACGCACACAGCTGGGAGACAAGGGGACACTAAAATGTGACGCACACAGCTGGGAGACCAGGGGACACTAAAGAGTGACGCACACAGCTGGGAGACCAGGGGACACTAAAGAGTGACGCACACAGCTGGGAGACCAGGGGACACTAAAGAGTGACGCACACAGCTGGGAGACAAGGGGACCCTAAAAAGTGTTGTTGGAAACTCACCTGAAATGTTTGATGGTCTTATTTGAACAATGTGGTCACATGACTCCTTCTGATGTTACTGCAGATCTGCTGTAAGCTAGCTAGCTAACGTAGCTAACCTTCAGATATACTGACGAAACATTTTGTTAATTAATATGTTGTGTAAACATGAAGGAGTCTCAGGTGAGTTCAGGTGTCTCGGGTCACATGACTCAGACAGAAACAGGATTAATCTGATCCCAGACAAGCGTTTTATCTGACGGCTTAAATCCCAGCTGTGTGCGTCACTCTTTAGTGTCCCCTGGTCTCCCAGCTGTGTGCGTCACTCTTTAGGGTCCCCTGGTCTCCCAGCTGTGTGCGTCACTCTTTAGTGTCCCCTGGTCTCCCAGCTGTGTGCGTCACTTTTTAGTGACCCCTGATCTCCCAGCTGTGTGCGTCACTTTTTAGTGTCCCCTGGTCTCCAGCTGTGTGCGTCACTCTTTAGTGTCCCCTGGTCTCCAGCTGTGTGCGTCACTCTTTAGGGTCCCCTGGTCTCCCAGCTGTGTGCGTCACTCTTTAGTGTCCCCTGGTCTCCCAGCTGTGTGCGTCACTCTTTAGTGTCCCCTGGTCTCCCAGCTGTGTGCGTCACTCTTTAGTGTCCCCTGGTCTCCAGCTGTGTGCGTCACTCTTTAGGGTCCCCTGGTCTCCCAGCTGTGTGCGTCACTCTTTAGTGTCCCCTGGTCTCCCAGCTGTGTGCGTCACTCTTTAGTGTCCCCTGGTCTCCCAGCTGGGTGCGTCACTCTTTAGTGTCCCCTGGTCTCCAGCTGCGCATGTCTCCTCAAGTTACTGAATGTTCTCTAAATGCTGCACGTGTTGTTGTTGGAGATGTTTCTTCATGTGGAACCTTTGTGTTTTTATATCTGCATCCTCTCTGAAGCTGCAGAGTTTCTCCTGATGGAAGAGGTTTGTTTTAGCACGTTCAAACCGGTCGGCCTCTGTATTTTTGTCATGATTTAACTCTTTTAAAGGGTCTTGTTTCATGATTTAACTATCTTTAAAGAGATCTTCAAAATGTCATCTCTTTTAAAGTGATCCTTGTGATTTAAATCCTCATAAATGATCTTGTTTCAGGATTTAAAGAGTTTTCTCAGGTTCAGGATGTTCTGCAGAAACAGTTAACAGAGATGTTCTCCATGTTCTCCGGATGACTGGAGCCGAACAAGCCCTGAAACACAGCAACAAAAGACCCTCCCTCACCCCTCCCATCACCCCCATCCTCACCCCTCCTCACCCCCATCCTCACCCCTCCTCACCCATCCTACACAGACCCCAAAAAGCAGAAGAGCCCATTATATAACCCGCTCCCCCCCACCACTCATTAACTGGTTTCCAGTTGAAAGGCTGAGGGGGGTCACGTGGTCCAGAGAGGCTTGTTTACCACAACAAGTGGAGAGAGAGGGGAGAGAGAGAGAGGAGGGTTTCCCACCATCTCATTCACAACTACTTTCACACGCCGCGCTGCCGCCGCCGTCACCATGGAGACCCAGAGAGGGACATGTGACCGAGGAGAGCCAATCAGGAGACAGTACAGGTCCCCCCACTTCATTACTGACATCAACACAATATTTAGCAAATTACAAGGAGTGGACATGTCATGTTTAAATATGCAAATGAGGTGTTATGTAATGATACATTTTGGATAAATCTACAGACACAAACAGACAGAGTTAGTCAAATAAACTCCTGGATGAGGATTAAGATGTTTGCGGACATTTTATGGAAGCTAAAAAGCACAAAATCTTAGAATCAATGCACGAATAAAACATGTTTTCCCATCTCTGCCTCTGGGTGAATCTATATGTCTGTGAAGTCTTCTTATTTATTGTAAATAAATAATATATTTTTAAGCATTTGTATGCATGTCAATTGTGTGTTGTGTTACATGTTGAGTCACTTATTTTCAGATCCTTGTTTTGTCTTTTCTGTTTAGATATGACATGTCTTTAAAGTTTAAAAATTATGACTCATCTAAAGATTAAGGTGGTCACAAATAGGGTTAGTATTTTATTGTTATTTAATAATTTACAACTACTTCCAGAGGTGGAAAAAGTACTCAGATATTGTATTTGAGTAAAAGTAGAAGTACTCAGATCTTGTAGTAAAAGTAGAAGTACTCAGATCTTGTAGTAAAAGTAGAAGTACTCAGATATTGTACTTGAGTAAAATTAGAAGTAGGCCTACTCAGATCTGGTACAAGTAGGCTACAGTACTTGAGTAAATCCACTTGTTTCCTTTGCACAACTGGCTACTTCTGCCTCGAATTAAAGATTTGTTGATATATTGTGGGACATAGCCTATAAATAAAATATATAAAATTAAAATATATAAATATGAAGATTTTCCCACAGAGTTTGGCTCTACTATCTGTTCTGACAGTAACACACATTGATTACTGTATACACAACTTTAATAAGATTCTCTTTAGTTCGGCTGTAATGAAATCCACGGTTTGATTTATTTTAACATGATATCTGCCCTGAACCTGAGGTGTTGGAGGGCATCAACAGAAAAACACATGTTAATAATTTATTACAAATAAACAGATCGTAATTATAAGTACGCCGAATTAAAGAAGGCCTTGTATTGAACAAGAAAACATATAGAAAAGTTATTTTGTTATCTGCGTAAAGCTCTGAAACAATCAATGCTTTTATTAAATATGAGGATTTGTGAATGGAGTTTGGTCAACAAACGGAACAGAAACGTAACTTGGCTGTAGCTGTCGTGAACGTAAACAGTTTACGACATGCCGTATTCCAGTATGTCCAGTGAGACTACACGTGAAAGCAGAAACAGGCAGAAATAAACTTGAAATTGAAGTGTTTTTAATTAGTTTTAGTTGAGTATCTGCGGGCCAGCATGCTGTACCTGGTGGGGCTGGGGCTCGGTGACGCGACGGACATCACGGTGAAGGGTCTGGCGGCCGTGAGGGGCTGCAGCCGGGTCTACCTGGAGGCCTACACCTCCATCCTCACCGTGGGGAAGGAGGCTCTGGTGAGGACTTCCTATCACACTGAACTGTCTCAGGATCAAATACAAGCTGTCCCAGGAGGTACAGGAGAGGTTGTTACCACCATGCTCCAGGACAGAGAATCACACATTAAAGGCTTTGCAGAGAAACCTTAGTTACAAGAGACAGAGGTGTAGAGTAACTAAGTACATTTACATAGGTACAATTTCCAGGTACTTGTACTTTACTTGAGTATTTCAATGTTATGCTATTGTGTACTTCTACTTCTGAGTACTTCTCCCACCTCTGACAACAGGGAGTCCACAAGTAGTTCATAACATGGGACTTTTTATGATTTTTACGACATATTAATACATATATATAACTTTAATGACATTTATTTTGAATACTTTTATGAATTTTCATAACATACCATTTTGTATTGCTGTTTTGATTTATGACTTTTTATTATATATTATATTTGGACTTCTTATGAATTTTTTTGAAATATTATATACATTTTATTGTGACTTATTTTGTATTTTTATGACATTGGAATTGTTATCACATATTCTAATGTTACTTTTTCTTACTTTTATAAGATACTCTACAAAAACTTTATAGACTTTTTATGACATGGGCTTTGTATAGATAGATCATGATTTACTTCAACATCATTTTTTATCAGTCTTTAGGATTTTAATGACAAACTATATGATATTATTTAACCCTCCGGTATCACTCGATTGGACTACGCAAATTAGTCATTCGGGAGAAAAATGTCCACTGCAAAAGACTTTGATAAAAACATTATATTAAAAGGTTTTTTTCACAACTTTTTTGGGTTCAATCTTTAAAGAAACTTCAGCCCTAATCAGAAATACCAAATATTTAATCATTCTCAGGATTTTAACCCTTTAAATGCCATTTTGAATACATGAAATCGCTGTTGTTTTTCATGATAAAATATATATTTTCCATATAATACATATCTGGGGACTGGCTTTTTTTTTTTTATCACAGTCTTGGATATGTCAAAGATTAGCAACAAAGTTTATATTTTTGCATTATTAGTTTTTGCACAAAATCAGATTAAACAAAAAACTCACACATTAGTCATTCGGGACAAAAATGTCCACTTCCAAAAACTGCTATAAAATAATAACAGATTAATATTTTTTAAAACTTTTTGGGGTTAAATCTTTCAATCAACTTCAGTCCTGATAAAAAAATATCAAATATCAATTAATTTTCAGGATTTTAACCCTTTAACTGCCAGTTTGAAAACATGAATTCGCGTTTTCTATGAAAAACATGCACAAAAAGGCAGTTATTTTCCATATAATAAATGTTGGGGGGGTCGGCTTTTTTATTTTTTTATCACAGTCTTGGATATGTCAAAGATTAGCAACAACATTGATTTTGGTGGATTATTAGTTTTTGCACAGAATCAGATTAAACAAAAGACTCACACATTAGTCATGAGTGATACCGGAGGGTTAAAGACTTTCTATGATTTTTTTAAATGAGATTTTATAATATGACTTTGTTTCACTTTTCTATGACATCCTTTACTATGAATTGACTTTAAAATACTTTACTACTCCTGCTGTTCCTGCCACCCTCCCCCTCACTCTGTGCTTCTCCCCAGGAGGAGTATTATGGGATGCCTCTGATCCTGGCGGACAGGGATCTGGTGGAGCAGCAGGCGGACGAGATCCTGAAGGACGCTGACGTGACGGACGTGGCGTTCCTGGTGGTGGGCGACCCGTTCGGGTGAGACAAAAGATTCAAGGCTTTTATTGTCATGTGTTCGAAGCTACAGTGTAGATATGAACACAATCTGAGGTCACAGACTCCTCCAACAGAGCAACATATTATATAAAGGACAAAATACAACTACAAATAGTGCAAAATGAAACATGTATGGACATGTGTTTTATTCCACATATTGCATTACTAGTGTCAAAAGAAGCCCCCGTCCAACAACAAGACACCACTGTAAAAGATGAGTGCTCCCAGTTCACTAGATTCAAGATTCAAGGCTTTTATTGTCATGTGTTCGTAGCTACAGTGTAGATATCTGAGGCTCCTCCAACAGAGCAACACAATAAAACAGATACAATAGTTAAAATAGAGCAAGGAGAGTCTATATACAAGTCATTGGAATATGATATATTAGATAACTAATTTGTAAGTTGCAAACAGATGAATGCTGTTGGGAAAACACTGAACGTCCTCTTCCAATATCAGAGTAGCATGCTAACAAAGGTATCCCAACTGTAGCTGTGAACATGACAGGATGTATGATTACCTAGAAGAGCATCAGGACTGTTTGAGGCATATGATAGCTATGTGATTAACATGATGATTCAGCCTCTATGGAGATAGACATATGACAAGCATGCTCATTTCTGACGTGGAGCTAATCTGAAGTAAACATTGAATACTGCTTTCTATTCCTCCATCTTGTGACTGTGTAACTCCCTCTCTTGGATATCAGCATGTGAAGGACACTGTTCAGGAACTAGTTGATGCTCTGTATGTGATGACTACTTCCATTCTGGAGAGGATCACAGATACATGGATCCTGAGGTTGAAGCTCAAGCCGGGGACCAGGGATTATTAACATTTTTAAGTATTCAGAAAAAGTCAGAATTTTGAGATTTTTGAGAAAAAGTCAGAATTTTGAGATTTTTGAGAAAAGTCAGCATTCTTTAGATTTGTGTGTAAAAGTCAGATTTTGGAGATTTTGAGAAAAAGTCAGAATTTTGAGATTTTGAGAAAAAGTCAGAATTTTGAGATTTTTGAGAAAAAGTCCAATTTTTTGAGATTTTTGAGAAAAAGTCCAATTTTTTGAGATTTTTGAGAAAAAGTCAGCATTTGGAGATTTTGAGAAAAAGTCAGATTTTGGAGATTTTTGAGAAAAAGACAGATTTTTTAGATTTTGACTACTTCCATTCTTGAGAGGATCATAAACACATGGATCCTGAGGTTGAAGCTCAAGCCGGGGACCAGGGAGATTTTTCTAACAAATGTTATGGATGTTTCAAAGTGCAGGTGTTTAACAGTCTTATAGCCTGTGGGATGAAACTGTCCCTCAGTCAGGTGGTTTTAGTCCGGATGCTGCGTTACCAGAACAGTTTGTTTCTGGGGTGATGGGCGTCTTTTATAATCCTGAGGGCTTGATGTGATGTTTGTGCAGTTTTCAGACACGTAGCATCTGCAGCTCGTATTGATCCAGTTCTGCTGCGTCAGCACTCTTTAAACTGACCACACACTCATTCCTGCTCGTTTCTCCCCAAAACACCAGCTGTGAGGTAATGACAGAGCGGACGTGTGGTCATGTGAGCGCTGGGTTACAGTTTACATGAAGAGAGAGGAGAGTAAAAGCCATCTTTAATCTGTTCAAACCTCAGCATCACTCTGAGGGTCAGGCAGGGAGATGAGACGATGTTTCTCTCTCTCTTAAACATCTCTCGGTAAAACCTTCATGTTGAGACTCAAAGAAGCAGCTACTAACAATACATCATATATATATATGAAGCACGAAAACAACAGTTCAGGTGCATATCAGTATGTAGTGTCTCTACTTTCTACTTTAAAGAGTCCTCTCCTGCTGATGTTCAGGTGCATATCAGTATGTAGTGTCTCTACTTTCTACTTTAAAGAGTCCTCTCCTGCTGATGTTCAGGTGCATATCAGTATGTAGTGTCTCTACTTTCTACTTTAAAGAGTCCTCTCCTGCTGATGTTCAGGTGCATATCAGTATGTAGTGTCTCTACTTTAAAGAGTCCTCTCCTGCTGATGTTCAGGTGTATATCAGTATGTAGTGTCTCTACTTTAAAGAGTCCTCTCCTGCTGATGTTCAGGTGCATATCAGTATGTAGGGTCTCTACTTTAAAGAGTCCTCTCCTGCTGATGTTCAGGTGCATATCAGTATGTAGGGTCTCTACTTTAAAGAGTCCTCTCCTGCTGATGTTCAGGTGTATATCAGTATGTAGGGTCTCTACTTTAAAGAGTCCTCTCCTGCTGATGATCAGGTGTATATCAGTATGTAGTGTCTCTACTTTAAAGAGTCCTCTCCTGCTGATGTTCAGGTGTATATCAGTATGTAGTGTCTCTACTTTAAAGAGTCCTCTCCTGCTGATGATCAGGTGTATATCAGTATGTAGTGTCTCTACTTTAAAGAGTCCTCTCCTGCTGATGGTCAGGTGTATATCAGTATGTAGTGTCTCTACTTTAAAGAGTCCTCTCCTGCTGATGTTCAGGTGTATATCAGTATGTAGTGTCTCTACTTTAAAGAGTCCTCTCCTGCTGATGTTCAGGTGTATATCAGTATGTAGTGTCTCTACTTTAAAGAGTCCTCTCCTGCTGATGTTCAGGTGTATATCAGTATGTAGTGTCTCTACTTTAAAGAGTCCTCTCCTGCTGATGTTCAGGTGTATATCAGTATGTAGTGTCCTCTACTTTAAAGAGTCCTCTCCTGCTGATGTTCAGGTGTATATCAGTATGTAGTGTCTCTACTTTAAAGAGTCCTCTCCTGCTGATGATCAGGTGTATATCAGTATGTAGTGTCTCTACTTTAAAGAGTCCTCTCCTGCTGATGTTCAGGTGTATATCAGTAGGTAGTGTCTCTACTTTAAAGAGTCCTCTCCTGCTGATGTTCAGGTGTATATCAGTATGTAGTGTCTCTACTTTAAAGAGTCCTCTCCTGCTGATGTTCAGGTGTATATCAGTATGTAGTGTCTCTACTTTAAAGAGTCCTCTCCTGCTGATGTTCAGGTGTATATCAGTATGGAGCGTCTCTACT